GGTTTAGGGTTTCGACGTGGCAGTGACACAATGCTTTGACGCCGGCTCCGCTGCCTCCAATGGTGCCTCCTCTAGGTCTGGCTGGTTTCGACCGATCCTGTGTGAAAACCTACAAAACTCGAGATTAGGTGGCCTCTGTTGGCAGAAAAAGAAAAAAGACCGAGACTTACTGGCAGGTGGGGTTTCCGGTGCGGCGACTCTACCATTTGTCCCTCGTGGTCAGGGTTTTCCTTTGGTTACCCAATATAAAAACACGTCAAGAATTCAATAATCAAAAAATAAAAGGGAATGAGAAGGGATTGGGGCTCACCAAAGGGATTTTGGGTCTTGAGTGCGGTGGCTCGGCCAAGGTCTGCCCTCTGTTTTTGGTTTTTTCTTTGGTTTTTCGGCACTGATAATGGTTTGAGGTGGCTTAAAATCAGAAGACGAATCGAAAAGGAAAAAAACTCACCTTCTGGCGTCAGCGACAGGCTCCAGTGTGGCGGAGACGTCAACTGGTCTTCTTTTCCAGCAATTGGTTCACTTTCTAGCTGCCCCTCTTCTTCTTCTCCGATTTCCTCTTGACGGCTAGGGTTTTTGGGGTCCGGGTGGAGAGGTTTAAATACCTCTCCATTTTTTATATGGACCGTCCGTTCGAGGATGCGTGGCCTAATCTCTATCGTTAGATCCATCTTATTAGGGAAACGAATCAGGACCACACGATGGAATGCATCAGGATCGTTCGATCCCACCTGAAGGGGAAACGAATTTGGGTCGTTCATGTGCGCGGAAATAAATTCTGACCATGTGATCGGTTGGCATGCGGATTGCCCATATGGCTTCCTGCATGGACGCGTATCTATGTGCCTGCCACGCGTCGCATGACAACTGGTCGTGCTACTGACGTGGCGGTCCACGTGGCCATTTTTTCATTTTTGGTACTTTAGCCCCAGTTTTCTAATTTTTTTTATCATTCCTTATTTCTAGTTTGGTCCTAACTTTTCAATATTATTTTCAAATACACCCAAAATGTATATTTCTTAAAAAATTCCAAGAAAAAATTAAAATTAAAATTTTAAAAATTATTATTGATAAAATTTAATCATCCCGAGCCTAAATCCCGGGCTCACCATTTTTTTCTGTTCACAGTTTGGCGGTTGCCTTTTCGTTTCCTGTTTCACACAATTTTTTTACTATTGTGTTACCGTCCTTTTCTATGCAAGTTAACCTA